ATGTCAAAAGAGCCTCTTCACATCTATGCCTACAACTGACTCTGGTTTGGGGCATGAATTTTATTTCCACGTACCAACTAAAGTCATAATCCCCAGACTGTCCATTGGTCAAGGCAAAGCTCAGCAAGTTCTCACACCAAAAATTATCTATTGCATGTTACGAACAAAAAAAAAAATCTGTTGTTACCTTGATAGGTAGCCTACAAACAGAAAAGGAGCTCGTGTATTGAATGTTTGTGCATCAGGTGCAAGACACTGTGATAGGCACTAAACAGAATAACCTATGAAGTAGATGTCATTAACATCATTTTAATTTAGATGAGGAAAACCATGCATCGGACAGGTTCATGAGCTTGCCCAAGACCACAAAGCTAGTAGTAATTAGTAGAACTTGATTTGAAGCAAGATCTTTTGGACTCTGAAACATTTTCCTTATCCTAGGGATGGAGTCAGTGAAACAGTATGCAACCATTTATCACCACCCTCTGTTACTACCAACATCTTCAAGGATTATACTCTGAGGACAGCCCCGGCTGCGGGCCACTGCATCAGACTTGACAATACTGAGTGACCAACTAGCCATGGTCCCTGCCTTCATAAAAGGAATGTCTCCCTGTTTAATACTAACTCTATGTTCTCATTCTCTCTATAGGTATATGAACAGGATGACTTGAGTGAACAAATGGCGAGTTTGGAAGGGCTCATGAAGCAACTTAATGCCATCACAGGCTCGGCTTTTTAATATATATTGCCGAATTGATGACGTGAATTTTCCAGGAACTTTGTGGTATACCAATTACATATAAACAGCACACCTGCGTCCAAGAACTCTAACCAGTGTACAGGTCAACCATCAGAATCACTCAGTTAAGGAAGATCCTGAAGCAGTTCAGAAGGAACAAGCATCCTTTCTTTCATAGGCATCAGAAATTGTAAAATGATGACTATGAGGTCCCTAGACAAAAGCAAAGATGCGTCTTCACTGCAATGTCAAAGCTGAAGCTGCTGTTATAGAATAGTCCTGGGTCTTTGCCGCTGCAGTGACCACACTGTCATAACTAATGCCTGTGTTTTCCTTCATCAAGGCCTGTCATTTTATATGTAGATCTAGTCTTACAAAATGCAAGTGCATTATTTAAGCCTGTACCATGCCATGGCAAACCCGTGCAAGCTCACTATTTTGTTTTCAATTTTAAAGTACAAAGCACCCATGGGAATTCTCTCACTACATAGCACCAAAGGATTGTATGTTTTCCTTACAGCACAAAAAGTAAATAAGTAAACAAACAAAAAGGAAGCAAATGCTCACGTTTGTAACTCAGTCGTTCATCTTTGCACAAGTGGTGGATATTAGCAAGTGGCTGTAAAATTCACCCACTTGGGCAAGTATTTGGAAATCCACCCTTGGTTCACATTTATGTCTGGAGTACAGGAACATAAAAATCTGCAACTAGTGGCATCCTGCTAGCAGCAGTACAATTCCGGAAAGAGGATACAATATGCAATCTTCTCAGATACGTGGTAATTATATGCTTAAGCTTGTAACAGGACACTTTTCAATTTGGGTGGCTTTTGTGCCATACCACACTGTGATGCCATTTCAAAGCTTCGCCAAGGCCATCTTCCTCAGGAGTCTGGACAGGAGAGTCTCCCCTGCCCCTCCGCTCCTCCCTGCCTGAGTTCTCCTTGGCAACCAGCCTTGGGTGAGGTGGCCAGCTCCACACATTGGATGGCTTCTTTGCCAATATCTCCTGCCCTCCCTCCCGACACCGACACCCCGTGGAAATAGCAGATTCCCTAAGAGCAGACCCCGAGGAAGGGAAGGAAAATAAAAGGCAGTTTCTAACAGTACCTTCTCTTGAACGATGCCAGTTCTGCCTGTGTGTCAGCGTTGGCAAATGTTGACCACCAGGCCCTGTTGCCAAGGGAACCTTCTACACCATAGCTGTGCCAGAGCCAGGGAGAGGCAGAGGGCCAGGTGCCACTTGACACTTCTGACACATCATAAACCCACTGGATACCTTTCAAAAGCAGCGTCTTAAACTGTGGGTTAGAATTTTAAACTTCTATTGTCATGTTTATTTACAGCTTGGAACTAGCTGAAATTAAGAACATTTTGTGTGCAACCTTTTAGTTTCTGAATTTTCAGCTGCATTTGGAGTTAATCCCTGTTTATGCAGCTGAATCGCCAAAAGGGAGCTAGTTTGCATATTTATCAGTTAGGCGACTTGAAAACCCAATGAGAGAGTTTCAGCTGAATTATTCCTTTCAGCTCTGCCTTTGATTTCAAGCTTGAGTAGGTCATAATTTTAAAAGAGCATGGAAGGGATAGGATCTTTACAACCTAATAGCTCCTTTTATTAGGTGGGTAATTATATATGAATCCCTGAATGAAATATTTTGAGCAAAATGGCACTGTAACAGAAGTAATAATTCAGATTATTTTTTTACAGTTTTATGTCAGGAAGGAAATCTGATGTCAGAGAGGGCTGTTCAAATGGTTCATTAGAAAGTCCGGTCCATTTGCGAAATTGTTCCTTCTACAAGAGTGCTCTTTCAATCTAAGATTTTCTGGAAGTCCCTCTGAAGAGCTATGTGACATTATTCTATGGGACAGATTACTCTTGTTTAACATCTGGGCACTTAGGCAGAAAACCCTCCACTGACCTGGAATAAGGCATTTCTTAACATAATATTGAAATTCTTCAGAAATAATCCATAACATCAAAAAAGAAAATGTTCATTAGGCTAGGCTAACCTTCTCTAGGCCCTAGAGTAACCTCCCCTTTCTAATACTGACAAACAGGGAACATTCTCTGAAGGCATTTGATACCACTAGGATCATTCTACATGCTCAATTTGGAATGGCCTGCAAATCTCAGATTTTAGGGGTTGAGTACAATTTCGATCTGTAGAATTAAGTTGGACAATCAAGAGAACTAGCATTTTCACAAAATTCTAGATCCCTCTAGTCAAAGTCAATGACTTTAGGAAGTAAAAATTTTAAAAATACATGAAAAGTATATGTGATTTGTTTTCACTGGGAGTTATATTTTTGCTGCATGCTCTTGAAATTTTCTTCATTACACAAATACAATGGTTTATTTTAGCAATTTTGGCAATGCTAAGAATTCTTAGCACCATGCATTGAATATAGAGTCAAATCCATTTAAATATCTTCAAGAGAATCTAGTATCATTTACCTGGTGGTTTTAATACACGATGACTTCACCGCAACGTCCATGTAACTCTGAGCTTTGTACCCTCAGGTGGTTCACGTACATGTACAACTGTCTGCTCAGCTTTTTAGGTAACTTTCCAATCCCCCAGTCTCCTGATCTCTTGACAAGAAGAAACCTGTGAATACTGTCAGATAGTCTCTGTTTTGCTCCTACTGAGTCTAGTTCCTGGAAGGTCTTCTTAAGCTCATAAATCTCTCTGACTACTATAGGGTGATGCCCGATGGCCAGCTAGCAGCTCTGCCACTAGGATTCATTTGTCCCTGAAAAAGGAGAAAAATCAAACCTAGCAGAGCATTCTCAGGCCTCCCCTGCAAGGTGCTGAACTGTCAGGCAAGAGCCTCCTCTTAAAAAAAAAAAAAAATAGGTATTTTTCTTTATATTTCACCTGAATAAGAAAGCTATTTTCTATCCTCTAGAAATTTCCACGTTTTGTTAAACTCGCAAAAAT